GCTGCCCATTTGTTTTTTGATTGTGGTGTTACCAACAAATTATGGGTTGACTTAAGCACCTATGTTTCTAACCTTACAAATGTGTCCCATACCTTCGTCCTCAAAGATGTTATCTTTTATTATTAAAATCCAAAGCTATTATCTGTTGAATATGTTGTTCATTTTCTTATATTGAATGCAAAATTCTTCATTCATAAGCAAAAATGGCTTAAATCGCCTTTGTCTTTCCTTGTTTCATCTCTTAGACTTACTAATAACAAAAAGAGTGCCAAACTTTTGATGTATTATGACAACTTTTCTACAAGAATGTAAGTTTATTTTTGCACTTTTATGTATCGATAATAATTAATTTGACATTCAAATACAGAATATTTGTTTTCTGTTTTTATTTTTATAATTGCTTTTTGTTGGAATATATTCATGTCTCGCTTCCCTGTTTCTGTATGTTTCTACAAGTTTTGTAATAAAAAAAAAATAAATAAAAAAAAAGCATTGTAAGCCTGAGTAGACCGTAAGTCTAACTAGGTCCTTTGGTGCAACTGGTTTTTGGGAGTCACGATTTTCTCTGTGTAATTCGACATAACGTGAATACATATAGGAAAAAGGTCATACAAATAAATTCAGGATTACATTTTATTACAAATTAACTATATTTGTTTTTATCAAGTCATTTGTTTATTTATTTTCCATTTATTTATTTATTTATTTATTATTTCTGCAGGTTAGGTCCTCCATAATTTTGAGCTGAAACTTCATAGACACATTCTGGGGACACCAGAGACTTATATTACATATTGTAAAAAGGGGCATAATATGTCTCCTTTAAGTGGATTACAACAAGTGGGTGTAGAAAGAGAGAGAGACATGTTGGCACTGTACTTCTCCATTATCCACAGCTCATTTTAATTAATCTACCCTTTAAAAATAACTAATCTGGCATTACATAATGAGAGTAAGTGTTATAGGCGTTACTCTGCCCTCAATCAGTTTCTCTAGGAACTCCCATGTGGCTGTTTTTAGACGCGCGTTTGTTATCTACATACGCACGCAAATCCTGTATATAAAACGCCGTGAACCGGTGCGCTTCTAAACAATGTTTCCACGAACCAACGGGGACAAGCACAAGCTCTTCTACACAGTCCGCGCCTGAACACGTTAGCTCTTTATTAGAACCTGGAAGATGAGGAACACTCGCCGCTTTCGAGACGGACAAGACCGCGACGGGACAGGTAAGACACGGCATCTCACCTTCTCCTTCAGCGACCGTGTTTCTTTGCGGACAGTTGTATTTGTCACGACCATATGAAACTGTAGAAACTGTAAACGGTGTGTGCCCGCGGAGTATGTTAAACAAATACATCTGATTCATGAAATATAAAAAATATTTCTAATAACCAAAGCACTCACATAATTATCGTATCTCTAACAATGGAAATAACATCGTTACGTGAATATTGGATTTTGTCAGTGATTTGTTGGCAACTGACAAAAACAAGACCACTAATGAGTTTGTGAACACTCACAATGTACATGTACTGTAAATTCAGTAGCTGAATGCATGATTGTTATTCTGCTATTCACTTTATTGATTTGTTGTTTTAATGCATGGGACAAGACTACTTATGGTCAGGGCAAAGTAAACAAACTTGATATTTCAAACAAACTAAACATTAATTTCCTGAGAAAATGAAAGGGAAATGGAATTATTACATAAACTAATTTGCCCAAACATATGTATTTTGTCTCTTGCTGAAGTAACTTTATATTATATTCAAATATAGTAGCAGCATGGGTTAAATGAGAATTTGCAATTATGAAATGCAGACA